TGTGGGAAATGGATGTGTGCGGTTATGCGAGGTCTGACTGTATTTTATAAATGCACTGAGTGAATAGTGACATAAGCTGAGTTTTTCACCTAACAATCTCTTTGCCCCAGACACACACACACACACACACACACACACCAGACCACATGGAAATCATAATAATTATTGTGACACTTTACTGTGTCCACTAAACTTCCCTAGGGTTATCGATAAAAGTACAGAGGCCAGCCAGCTGAGCAGCGAGAAGAACATCCCACCAGGGAGATGTTCGAAACGCAATACATGTATTACTATTTCACTTGGAAAACGGATAAATTACTACCCTGTGGGAGTGAACAGAACAATGGCTTGTGAATCCTTCTCTGAAGTTTCCGCATAAATAAAACCCGGGGTAAGTGAGCAAGCTTGAAGATATAGCAAGCCGCACACGTGGAAGAAGTTTGTTACCGGTATACAACATGACCAGAGAGGTGGCCTACCTGAGCCAAAGAAGACGTCACGAAAACGACAATAGCATGCGCTGGTACAAGAAAAGTGAAAATAGGCAAAAAAAGATGTACGTGGAAATAATGTAGGGAAGTATTTGTAAAAAAAAGAGCCCAGAAATATGAGTAGGCTCAGATGGCTTAGGTCAGAATAGGGGAGAGGTCGAACGAGCTTGTTGCATGTGTGCTAAATACCGGATTTCAGCTGAGTTTCCAGATGCCATGTTCAATTCGTTCCTGTAGCAGGATCAGTACACTTAGATGTCATCGAAGAGGTTCTTTGGTGGTGCACGTGGCAGTGCGGGGGAAGGTCTGGACACTGTTGCCCCGCTGCTGGTCTTCACGTGGTGCTTGGGCAGGATGGGATGCTTCGGCGAGGGGTCAAAATTGGTGGTTGTCGGCGTGACGTCAGGCAACTCCTCGGCGGACGTCAGCGCCAGTTTGTCGTCCTTGCCGCCCAAGCGGGAGTAGCGTGAGTTGAAGCGCTTGGTGTCGCGCTCGCGACGGCCGCTTCTCGTCTCCGAGCGGCCGGCTTCCACGTCGGCAGCTGAAAGAGCGTCGGCTGAGCTGGTCACGGTGTCAGAGTTTCTCAGCGACGACATCTCACGAGACGACCGATCATGAATCTGAATACGACACACAACACGCATGGCGCAGTCAACGAACAAGGACAGCTTCAGTAAAAAGTTACTAAAAACCTTGGCTCATGGATACAGCCACCACAGTACAGTCAGACCTCACTTATCCGTTCCTCTTTTATCCGGATCCCTCGCCATCAGGAAGAAAATCGTTGGTTACCGATTTACAGCATATGTGATGCATACATGCAGTACTAGTATGTGTGTTCGATTATGGGCCATTCACACTACGCCCAAAACGTGGCGTACGTGACGTTTTCGTCCGGATAACCATGACAACATGGAACGTGGCGGGAAAATCGTACCTCTGTCGTTCCCAGCAGTTTGTGTCCAAAAGAAGCTGTACACACAGTTGTACGAGCAGCGTGTGCGTGCCTGTGTGAATGCACCTGCATGAAAACGACGTCTGCCAGTACGTCGTATTCCAAAACGTGACGCATATTGTAACGTAGTATGAATAGCCTCTTATCCGGTTCCCTCGCCTATCCGGATATTTGTGTTGAAAACGGATGTGTGCGGTTAAGCGAGGTCTATCTGTACCATTTCTACAACGTCTGTAGTACATTCGCTCACCGAAGTACCGGTATTCACTAGTATTATAATTTATATTAAAGGGATATTAATCATTTGGGCTTGAAAGTGCTACGTCACAGTCAGGTCGAAGTCCTGGCACCGCCGACTTTTGGATCCGCTTGGATCCAGTTTTGCATGGATTCACGCACGTTTGGGTGGTTGTCCTTCACACTAGAGTGACACATTCGCCTATACCTGACTCTTCTGGCCAAAAGACCCACTGCTGAAACCGGGGGAAAAAAGTCACACCAGCATACGACCTGAGGGACCTACCCATCGGGTACAGTACTTCACTATAGTCAGAGTGGATCTACAGTTGAACATCGATTATCCGACCACCTCTGGGCAGACAACTGTCAGGCGGTGTTCAGATAAGGCAAATGTTCAGGATAAGAAAAAACTGTCACTCACACACTTTCAATGGTTATTACTAGCCGCACGACCTTTTTACTTTTTACTTACTTCAAAATTTTCGTATTTTTTGAATGGCTCACTACATGCACAGTGCGTACTCTACGGCACGTGCGCACAAAAAAACTGTTACGGATAATCGAATGGTCGGATAGTCGATGTGCGGATAATCGATGTTCAACTGTAGTTTGGTCAAGAAGTCATTATTAATTTTTAATGACTTCGGACATCATTACTTTCAAGTCAAATGACTGATGAGATAAACGGAAAAGTGCTACCTAGAAATTTGGCAAATGATTACAGTGGTGCACAGCCACAACCTGTTCAGGGCAAGCAGCCAATGCACCAATTGAGTTCATTTGCTCTAGCATTCCCCGTCGTGTCGCAGTGCCGAAGCAGACATGAGTGCTAACGTCAAGCCTACGTTAAGTCCACAAAGTGCATACCAACCACCCAAGTATGGCACAGTCATTAGCATGCATGCCAGCAAGAGTAAATCAGCTCCCAAAAGTGTGCAACTCTGCATATGGGGTCTCCAACGGCAAAAGCTCACATCACGTGTCTCAGGCACGTTTATTTTTTATTTTTACTACGTACGACTTAGGATAGTGTGCGCGCAATCCGAATACCTGCCATGATCATGTTGGCGAGTTGCATACGCGCAGTGAGTTTCTGTCAGAGAGTGCTTTTTTTTCTTACTCCGCTACTCGCTAAAACGGGTTGGAAACGTACAACTGGAACACTACAGCACGTGACCAGTTTCCGCCGTCAGTGAACCCCATACAAGGAGTTGCACACTCTTGGGAGCTTATACTCTTGATGCACACATGACTACAGCAATCACTCACGTCGGTAGAGCGCATCTCCTTACGATTCCGTGACCGCCGCTCTGCACATAGTGAAGCAAGAGATGCAGAAACGCGGGCATACACATGTCAGCAAACAAGTCCAGTTACAGGACAGGAAGAGGTAAATGAATTATATTTCAATGCTGCTGTCATGAAGGTGTGTGGATTTTCATCAGAAAACGCTATCAATACTCAGCGCACATACTTCGGAGTAGTTTCCTTACTCCAACAAACACCCATCTCAGCTATTCCACTATAAGTACTTCTGAACAATTGAATCATAACCTCACCGACCATTGTTTAACAAGAGGCCGTTATATACGCAGGCGCATGCGCACACTATTACCACACACACACACACACGCACACACACACGCACACACACACGCACACACACACACACACGCACACACACACACACACACACACAGCAGCATCACATACCTAATCTCGTGTAATTCTTGCCCTGCTTGACCAACTCAGTGGTCATTTCATCATCCAGCAGGAAGGCCTGGAAGCCACAGCACGCCATGATGTGAGAACCAAGCCGGAACAAGGTCACCAAACTCAGAAGGCAAAGGATGATTGGAAAATAGATGTAGAAGCCTTTGGAGATGAAGGGAATGACATCCAAATGGCCCATAGTCTGCAGACAGCAACACCACCAGAAAACCATTGAGTATTAATTGTACAGCTGAACCGATCTCGTCCAAGTGTCCCGGGACCGAAGGGTGGCCGTATCTCAGTCTGGTCCAAACCTAGAACACAGCATTGAGCCAGTGTAACGTACCTCTGTGAATGCCGTTTGAGCTACACCGTCCACACCGGACACATGACTATCCATGTGAATCAAGCCCAGGAAGTTCAAGCACAGTGGCGCCACCACACGACTCAAAAACCTGAAAAGACCGGTAGAGAAACACACGCACACAGTGCAAGCAAGCAAAAGTTGGCCAAAGATACAAGAAGTGCAAAGGTGACCACCAAGGGATATTGGAAGGAGACACCGTGTTGCCCGAACCCCTCAAGGTGTATTTTAGCATTCTATGCCCGGTGTACGTGATCTAGTATCTCAGTGACCCCACCCTTCTCAGCTGTGACAATGTGTTCTAACTTTTTTTGTTCATACAGACACAGCTGCGCCTGTGTACAGTGTCCCGAAATACGACCACTAGTCAGTTTCATGGACCAGAGGGCATGGCACTACTCACACGAAAAATGCGAGGCTCCAATATCACAGTCACCCAAAATGTGAGACTTCAATTCCACAGTCACCCGTCCACATTATCTCAGTAGATAGCGCAGTGACAGCAGAGGAAGCAAAGCCAGCAGCAGCAATAGCAGTAACTGCCTCACAACTCAGCCTTACATTGCATTGAAGAGCAGACTGCCCTGGTCAGTTTGATGATTGGAAGCTAGGTAGTAGTAGTTGAAAAGGCGAATCTTGTAGATTGGGTAGTAGGCACAGGCTGCTATATACGCAATAAATGCAATGGTGAACACCTGAGCAAGACCGCACAAGAGAGACCAGAATCCAACAAAACACAACCATGTTACGCACAGCAGCAGCAAGGATGAGCGCACACAACGTTAGAGGCACCATGAAACATACAGTACAAGAGCAGGGGAACACACACATACCACACCACACATGCACATACATGCACAATAAGTGACATACATGAACACATGCACAGACATGCACATACATGAATACACACACACACACACACACACACACACAGCTATAAAGACATCACATGCCAGGCCTCCTAACACAACATACCAAATGAACAATAGTGCGATGCAATTTCAAAATAATTCTCAACAAACAGGGTCGCTGCCATACATGTACTCCCGATATAATTATGCGTGAGCAAGAGCTTACAGGCTGTAGTAGCCTGTACCGGGCTAAGCAAAATCAACACGTCATCGGTGCCCCCCCCCCCCCCCCCCACACACACACAGCACAGTTCAAGCCGTAACCGGATCACAAGCACACCGGTATATCCTACCTCAATGAAAGCATAATCATCCTTGGAGTCGGATGCGTCGGTATCTTTAGCAAAAGAGCCCGCCCGATGTACAATCAGTGCCGGAACACTGAGCACAGGATCACGGCTGAAAAAAGTCGCCTCCGACCAGAGAATGATCAGGGAGGCCATTGAGAACAGGGTGCTGACCAGGATCCAGAGGATAGGGCGAATACGAATGCGCCACCACCACTCTGTGCACAAAGCAACAACACAAGGCAAGACAGTAATTAGAGCACTACATATGTACGCTGTCACTGTGCATGCAATAGAGATTACGTGACTACATCATCAGTTGAAAACTTGAGATGCTTGTGGCAAAGCGGCGGCGCAGCGATGTGCTAGCTCAAACAAAACCGCCGACTCACGCTGTTTACTCAGCTACACGTAGTACACGTACACGTACACACACACGCACACACACAAGTGAGAGCAGGTCAGCCTACCGAGTCGGGGTGAATAGGCATGAAGAGAATGCCTTCCGGATGGAGAAGAGGAGAGGAAGATTCTGCAACGGACAGATCACACACATGTACAGATACACACAAGATTCACTGAAGTGGACAACTGCTTCCTGGACTTCTTGGCCAGCATTAGAAAAATTCCTAACCAAGACCAGCTTTCTTGATTAACCCTTTACCATCCGACCTAAATTCCCCAGCAGTCCCAAATGCAATTTGTCTCACCTTATTCTGAGAATATCTTCGGTTCTAGTCAACCAATTATCGCAATCTTGGGCATTCTGCAAAGCTCTCCACGAGCTGCGTACATTGAGCTCAAACAGGACACTACCGAGATCACATACACAGCGCCAGGGAGCTTCAAATACACCCCATCGCTGGATATACGAGGAAATTCTCTCCTCGCCAGCCATTTCTCGCTCCTTCATCGTAAACATTCCAATTTGTTTTGCTTGAGTTTCTTTTCATGCTGCCCACGCGCTCAAAGCATGCCAAAGTGACTCAGCATGCCAGGAGAGGGGAAAGTCCCCGCTCAAGGTCTGTTACTCGGAAAGAAATTCGACTTTTGCCGTGGCTGAAATGTCGAGCGTCATATCTTTGGAATGCGACATCGCAGCTCTTCACCGATTGATGCAATGGAAAGCTGAGCTCTTTGGTTTCTTCCTAGATACTTAAATTTTTAAATTCCGCCAAGAATCGATCGAGCTACGAATGTTTCAGTGTATGCATGTCCATCGATCTCTAGAGATCGATTCAAGTACACACGGATGGTAAAGGGTTAAGAGCGTGGTCCTCGCAGGGCCCAAACTGTGCCTCAGCACACATGGAGACCTGTAAAGGAAGCTTGCTGAAGACTGCTGGTCTAGCAGGTAACACACTTCTGTGCATTGTGGGGCGGTATGTAAACACTTGTTTTCAGCGCGCACACAATGTGAATGTGCAGTGGCCTGTCTGGTCGGCTTACCCGGTTTCATTGTGTTTGTTCTCCTCCAGATCTTCGTACTCCATTGCTCTCCTCAGGAACTCCTTGTATTGTCTGAACACGACAGCAGTAGCAGCAACAGCAACAACAAACAGAAGAAAACTTTACAGGATCCATATTGGGCAACTAACTTAACCCTTTAACCGTCAGACCATACATTTGTGGGTCGAATTCGACCCATCATTTGAAATACTCGCACTGGAATGATTTTTTACCCACAATAGAAAATTTACTATCGATTCGGTTGCGAATTTTCCAGGCTTTCTGTTGCAGAAATCCGCGTTGAGCTACGATGTAGTGGAGCAGAGTTATCAAGCGCTGAGTACTGCACGCTTGTCACTTCCGCTGCGCTGGGCGCGCGGCTGACGTCGTCACGGGATTTCCCCGTTTCCTCACGCGCTCTGTGACTGTTGCTCGCGACCAACGTATTCCTCACGAAATGCTCGATCTCTCAAAAAAAATTTGAACACTCTACGATGAAGGAGACGGCCATGGCGGAGTTTTGAACTTGTCATTTGCATGCCTGGCGTTGAGACGACGTCGCTGCGTTCCAGCGCTGGTTGTGTGACTGCCGAGGCGAAGAATTTGGTATCATCGTGCTGGTCTCGTCCAGAGCTTTCCAACGAGCCCAAGATTATAAAAATCGAGTGAGTACAACTAAAGTTATGACCTGGCAAAGTTGAAATTTCGTTCGGCGTTTCAATGGGTGAAATTTATATGACGGTTAAAGGGTTAAATGCATGTGTAGCTAATACACAAGACATGCAAGATCCCGCTGGCAACTTCGGAGCAAAGCTTGCTGTATGGTAGTGCATGCCAAACAGTGATGGTGTAAACACGGGGGGTGGGGTGAAGCTAATCCAAACAATATTGAACTCACACTTCAGTGCGCTTCGCGTTCCTGGAGGAGGAAATGACGCGCCCGTGCAGACCCACCAAACCGCGCAGGGTGGTGAGTTCTGACTGCTTTCCATCGCTGTAGTCCTCAAAATCGTCCACACCGCGACTGCCCTGCCTGGCCAGGTCGTCTGGACACTGACGTGACAACACACAACAGCAGAGAAATGACTACATGCTCTGCAGTGAAAACAAGTGCACACAGCGCACTGCACGTACATCCATGTATGAATGCATGCACCGCTGTACCCCCCCCCCCCCCCCCCCAACACACACACAATCCTACACACTGGGTGCAAACACATGCCGGGTCAGTGAACAACGAAGGAATGGCAGATCAGCACAGAGGTCACACCAACCTTCGCCAGAATGGTGTCCACACAATGGCGATTAGGATTGTTGTAGCGAATCTTCTCAGACACAAATTTAACATCCTAGAAACCAGAGAAAAGAGCATACGAAAGATGAAACAACACACATGAGCACTTGGTACCACCATCAGAGACAACAGTTCTTGTGATAGCTGAAGTATCCTGCCCTCATCAAAAGAATAAGGACCAAGGAGCCTTCATGGCTTAAAAATTAACATAATTTTGGTGAAATCAGACGATTACACCTTTATTCGAAGTAAGAGTGACAAAGTATAATAATAAAGCTGCAATAGTTAGACGAAATATGTTGGATTTATGTCCTGATCGTAAAGGAGATAAAATCTTACCTTGAAGACTTCGTCAAGCTTTTCTTTGGCCTCTTCCATATCATTGCGTAGTTTGGCGACCGAATAGTATGCTTTCTGCAATTGATAATTGAGACGGCCTTTGTACCAGAAAGAGCGTGGCATGTCCACAACACCGTAACCCAGAAGCAGCACCAGAATCAGCAGTCCCCAAGTGTTGGCCGCCGTCGTTGTCAGCGTCTTCAGCGTGATACTACAGCCAGTGAACACACCCACACACACGCACCATGTACCACACGCATACACACACACATGCATGCACACACACACATGCATGCACACACACACACACACACACACACACACACACACACACACACACACACACACACACACACACACACACTTGTACTTGTTGCTCACTGCCAAAACTGGTCACGTGGGTCTCCCCGGGAGAGGGGAGAGAGACTCAAAAGGAATCTTGGAAAGATGACTCAACTGGCTATTGAACCGCCCAACGGCCGACACCCCCTGAAATCCCCAAAACTCTGGGTGGACTTGAAAATGATCCCACTTATGGGCTCACCACACCTCAGTAAGTGGGTGAGGACAAGGTGCAGAAAAAGGATTGGCGGCATCAGGGTATCCGTCCTGGGATCCAACTGCAGTTACCCCTGCCCCCAGTGAAGGCAATACTTGCTACTAGTGTGGGTGGCTAAATCAGAGTGGATCTGATATAAGCATCACTAGCACCATTGATTACACAAGAGTTAATCTAGCCAGACGCAGTCCATGCACACACACACACACACACACACGCGCGTCATGATGGTAGAAGTGAATAGATAACGACTGCTGGGTCAAATCGGATCCAGTCTGACCATAGCGAAGTATTGCGTCAGGCCCAGCGGAACCAGTCCGGTTGGTCAGGTCATCGACGGGACAACTTTTTGGCCACCAACATGTGCTTATTGCTGAGGTCATGTGTCTACCCTCCATATCATACACAGAGTACGAAAGGCTAGGGTATGGCTGGACCAATCTAAAACTGCTTTCGCTGGTCCTGTGTGTCCGGTGGGTAGGTGGCCTCTTGTATCGCTTTCTGGTGTGACTTTTCTCCATACCAGCAGCACTTTCAAGCCCTACAGATGAAGACTAGTCAGCAGAAAGCATGCGTACATGCACCTCCCCCCCCCCCCCCCCCCCCCCCCCCCTCTCACAAACCATTAAATAAGTAGTGCTTCACAGAGGCAGTAGCGCTCAAATGCCCGTAATGGGCAGAGCGTAGTACACAAGAGGTACACAAAAGGAAATAAAGCAGGGCTCTAGTAGTGCTTCTGTTGCTGCTGCTTATGATGATGATGATGCACAGGTCCCCCTTATTCACTACAACCCTGGCGTGCAGCATACGAAGCAAAGCAGGCATACACCTACCCAGAAAGCAGATCCTTGGCCAGGATGTAGATGAAGAGGATGCCGAAGATCAGCAGGAAGGAGCCATACCAGATGGCGTTCACCTTCAGCATCTCAAACAGCTTGCCGCGCAGCGTGAACTGTGCCGACAGAACGTACGACTGTAGGAAGGGCAGTATGAACCTGGAAAACGAGAAGAGCATAAGATCAAGAACGCTCCTCGCAAGTACACTATTTGCCACCAGTGATAGCAGTGATAAACTTGTTGCTACTCAAAGCTTCGTGACTCTACAGGATGAATTTATCCTGTATCGCATCGCAGTTTGCGATGCAAAATCGATCTACTGCTACTCAAAAGTCACCGTGACTCGCAGAAAACTGTGATACATACATACTATCCATGCCTAGCCTGGACTGTCAAGTAACATGCATACAGTGCAGTGTATGTGGTGCAGGCACTCTCAATATGCATGCACATGTATCATTCAGTCCGGTTTTTTGGAAAAGAGGCTTTCAGGCATCACTCTCACGAAGGACAATGTAGTAAACACCCAACCTTCAAAGAAAATGCTAATCAAAATCAAAGACTGCTATATTATTGTGTATTTGCATAGCAGAAACTGCTATGGAAAAATATGACAATAAATTCATCCCTGCTCTACGTCAATCACCAGAAAATAGTGAGTTTCTGCTACACGGTAAACCGTACCAAAGTACAGTCTGTATCGGCTATAGAGTGACCGGATATAAGAATATATCGGCTACAGTGATATTGGTACAAAATATCAAAAGCAAAACGTATTTTATCCAGTAAAAATATCACTATAACCAATATTATCGGATGTAATGATATATCGGATATTATGATGGCAACAAAGAATCAAAACATACATAGCACACTATATTATCATCCGCTATAGTGATAACTTCAAAATACGTGTAGCAATAAATATCAAAGGCCCTATTTTTTTACTTTCTTCACGTTGCATATTTTTATAGTGATTCATGTACATGTACATGTACATAACAGAATATATTTTTTATGGGAATGCGGGCACGTCAACTATGCAGAATCCTCATTTGTCAAAACGCCATGCTGGAAGTATTTCCTTGCCTTTCATGTCACAGTCGATCGAAAATAAAAGAAAAGAAAAAATCGATCGCATCGCATATAGTGATGCATCGGTTATAGTGATAAAATCACAGAAATCAAAAGGGTACGCTATAGCCGATACAGACTGTACGTATGGAAACCTCGTCGCCGTTCGAGATCAAGTTTCACACGGATTTTTTCATACCGTTTTCCATGTGAAGCGCGCTTCGCACGAACTGGTCTCCGTGTGAAAACTGAGCGCACAGAGTACATGCGGCGGAAGTTCGAGCATGCTACGAGCATGCTACGCACAGCAGAACCGGCGCAAAGTACGAAAAATCCGTGTCAAACTTCACTGCAGTTGACACGGCGTTTGGCACGTACTTCCGTGTAGCAGAAACTCACTAATGATCATCTGACAATGGCAATGTCCTGAAACCCAGAGTAACAGCTGACCTACACAAATGCCGTAATGCCACTTATAAAAGCCGGGCTCATTCCTGTAGAAGCCGGTGTCAGGGCTAGGCTTCTATTCAAATCAGGCATGTATTCAAACCGGGTATTTCTATGCACATGAATGTCAACACTAAAACCAGGCTTATGTGCCGACAGTGCATCTTGAAAATCAGGCTTGTGTTCTATATGAGATGGGCTTTTATACAAGACACTACGGTATGTATTAGCCTCTGCGTGGACAGTGGAACTATTCCAGGGTTCTAACCAGGTCAAAATAGTGGGGTGGGGGGGGGGGGGGGGGCAGGGAAAACAGTTACCCCGGAAACCATTTTTCCATTTTCAAATTACTGTTTTGTAATGCGAAATGCAACGTACGGGAGCGAACACCTGACTTCACCCCAGACAAATGTGCCTTCATGAACCCTCTAGTACTGACTATCGACTGCATTTTCGTTGAATGCCATGAAAAAACACAAACAGAGGAAAATGAGTGGGGGGGGGGGGGGGGGGAAGCACTTTTTCACAGGGGGCGCACAGAGTAGGGGGGGGGGGGGCTGTGCCCCCCCCCCCCCCCCCCTGGGTATTTTGCTATTCTATTGTGCAAATACCGGATGATAGGGTTCCTATGGTCATCTAATCATGGAACTCCACAGCTTGCATTCTCATCATCAGAATAGAAGGCTCTTATTCTTTAAAGGACTGGGCATTCCTGAATGTGTGCTCCTACAGTATAAGTATGCAGGCTACTGTAATTTCACCACACCGATGCTCTGACAAGCCGCTGGAGGGACAAACGTCACTTACCATGACAACAGCTGCAGAGACCAATAGGTCAGGGCCCAGAAGTTCCTCTGGGTGGCCTCGGTAACGTACGACCATGGCGTATGGCACAGAGAGTGATTTGCGATTGAGGAACTGTTGTTCTCCTTACAGCGATTATACAGGGTCTGCAAAGGGAATGAAAAAATCACAGACAAGTGCAGAAGAATTGCGGGTCTCAGCGAACAATTTGAGCACTTCAGCAAGACCTTATACCAAATGACTTGACGCTAGCCCTTTGACTCCTGTATATATAAGTTCGACAGCGTTCTGGTGATGACTTCAAACAACCATAATGCAGCCTGTGCCCTATGGACTGCAAGTATCCAAGTAAAAGTATGCATGATGTAGCAAAGTCCTCGGCTTTCCGATGGCGTGATTACTTTCACAATACAGCCCGGATTTGTTCAGATATCGTACTCAAAAGCTTGGTTGTGGCAATTTCCTCCCAGGGCGCTGCTTTGTGTGTACGAATGTTGGGCCGCGTTGTATTTTTTTTGTATTTTATTATTTTACTTGGGCATTCCCAACAGACCCTAAGGTCTTCTTACAGGGTGCCCGCGTTGCGTGAACCATAAATGGAGTGCACGTCACAGGGCTGCATTATTGTTCGCCGACATCCCCGAACTGGCACAATCGCGCATAAGCTTTGTGGCAGGTCATACCCCCCCCCCCCCCCCCCGCTGGGACTCTGCAGGCGAAGCAGTTACGCTCATACAGTATGCCATATAAGACTACCATCTGCCTTGGGCGCAGTCGCACCCGATGCCACTCTTTACAGGGAAGTAAGAAGACATTTCCACCAGTTGCTTGTTGCACGTCGCATGTTGCCAAAGTAAAGTTAGTTGAACTTTGGTCAACTTCTGCGACAGTGGCCTTGCGACTGCATGCAACAGTACGCGACTGGCATTTCCTTGCCGCAAGTGTCGAATGTCGCATCGCAGAAAGTGATATTGTGAATTGTGCTTTAGTCTAATTAAAATTCATAGATTCAGCTGAAAGACTGAATTGAATATGCTGCTAGACAAAGTTATACAAAAGGAATAGAATACGAAGCTTGGGTTGGCTGTGACTCCGAGTTTCACGCCTATGACGATCATCAGACAGCAATGATTACAAAAACTCAATGAATGGATTACACCTGATGTCTGGCGCTAATCTTGCAAGTACATGCATAGAATCACCGCTTGACCTTATTTGCGCTTAAATTCTCTGATTCCACTAGCACCTTACCACAATATCAAGAACATTCATTGAGTTTTTGTAATCATTGCTGTCTGATGATCGCCATAGGCGTGAAACTCGGAGTCACAGCCAACCCAAGCTTCGTATTCTATTCCTTTTGTATGAAGCTCTGCACCCCGGTGCATTGAGCACTCTTTCGAGGACCACACCCAACTTTCCGTGTGTAGACAGAGTTATAAAAATTTCCTCGGAGAGAAAAAAAAAGCTATAACATTTAACTGGTTTTGAGGGAAAGAGCTATAACATTTAGAGCTATAACATTTAGTTTATAATAACACTAGCAGCACCCCAGGCCAGCGTTGCCTGGCCGAATGTGGCACGCGGGTGAAGCAAATACATGAACAGCACACTTGCTCAGCACGTGGTGGTGGCCAGACCGCTGAAGTCCTGGTGAGGAAGGTTCTTCATGGTTGGAAGGAGAAGGAGGGACGTCTGTTACGCCTTCGGGAGGCTGGTCAGGGTTGTCCATCACCTGGTGGCGGATGAAGCGGCTCAAAAAATTCATAAACTTACGAACAAAAGTGCGATGCGCTCTTCACTGCAGATCAGATGCAGAGTGCAGTCAGTGCAGATCTTTTGTATCCTTTTGTTGCAGATGTTTCTATTTGCAGAGAACGGTTCACGTGGTCCGCAGCGCTTGTGCGGCTGCTAGTGCTACCGGTATACCTATGGCCTAGGCTAGGTGGCTACATGATTCGCACGCTTCGCGTGCTCAGTGCTTCTGCGCGCGGCTGCTACTGCTACTCGTACTGATCGTGTCTGCTTCCACCTACACTGTTCGCACGCTTCGCGTGCTCAGCACGTGGTGGTGGCTACACGATTCGAACGCTTCGCGTGCTCAGTGCTAGCTTCTGTGGCTGCTTCCGCTAGCTACACGATTCGCACGCTTCGCGTGCTCAGTGCTTCTGAGCTGCGGCCGCTAGCTACACTGTGCTACACTGTTCGCACGCTTCGCGTGCTCAGGGCAGCGCTGCTCCGCAGCGCTTCAGCGTGACATACACACACACGTCACAGGTGCCTCTTCTTTATAAGGAGCGTCACACACACACACACACACACACACACGTCACAGGTGCCTCTTCTTTATAAGTAAAGATTAGGAGCACACATTTCAGGTTCTTCAAAAACTTTCAGAAATTGTTCACAGGTTATCTTTCATGCCTCCTCTTCAGGTAATAATAATATACCGGCAAGAGCTAGACAGAGTTACATAAAACAATTTTCAGTCACAGTATCTACAATCATGCAGTACAGGTGAATAAGAAATACTTACAGCTGATATATCGGAAGGTAGAACAAATATCACGGCGAAGCAGAGGAACCAAGTCGTCAGAACTGATAAGGTAGTGCCCCAGTGGTCTTTACGCCAGTTTCCATATTTGTGAATCAGATAGAGTGAGATGAGGAACACAACGATGATTTCGAACGCAAAGAAAAGCCCTGGAACGGCCATAGCTCTCTACTTCAGCCGGCAATTCTCTCTATTTGACAATCAATCCGACGACTACCTCTCACCCACTAACACCATCAACTGCACTTGTCAGACATTAGTGCCCACCGTCAAAACAGTGGAAGCCTCACAATGGTACCATAAGAATTTTCGATATTATGATTGTGACCAGTTGAAAACGTGCACTGACTACGACGTAATCACGAGCAGTAGATCCACAAACAGAGGTTACAGAAGTTTTACTCCTGAGTAACACAACAGCATGGGGTCTTGACTTTCTTCGTCACGAGCAAACAGTTTCAAACGAAACAGCATGCAAGGCGACAGCTTTCTTTGCACAAACAATCGGAACTGAACTGTGAAAAGAGCCACCGACTGCATGCAAACATGATTGTGAACAGTGAAGTGAAAACTTCAACAAAAAGTTCAAGCTGAAGTCAAGTCAGTGAAATCACACGTCATGTGACATATCAGTAGACTGTACATAATAAATCATGTAGAATGATGATGACATAATTATTTAAAATTTTTTTATTCTTTTCTCTCTGTCGTGTTGTCGTTGACTCGTGTGGTTGAGTGTTATGTTCTTCACTTCACTTCAGTCTTCAGTCTTGCTTGACTTCAGTCAGAAATCAAACAATTTTGTAGTAGTTTGTGTTGCATGAGAAAGATCTACACTACAGGCCACTGTAGTTTCTTTGGCCTCCTTATTTTCTGCTGTGCTAGCTCAGTGCATGCAGTGTAGTGATATGATGGATCGAGTCGAAAAAGCATCCACTATCCAAAGCATGCAACTATTTTTCGATATAGAACATCACCATGCAGTGCCACCAACACGGCAACAGTAATGTTTTGCCTTGGTGTCATGGTTATGTACTTTTGGACATTTTTTAGGCACCCTGCCAGCATCCGTCCACGAGTCGAGTCCGTGTGGGGCTAGCATTTTTGCTAGAACTACTTTTATGCACTCTTTGATAATGATCGTACTTTTCTATATGTGGATAGCTGTAAACATAACTGAGCAGAAACCAAGTAACTTAGTTTTCATTGCATGCAGCCATGCACTGTGTCTTTGAAGATGGACAGGTCTAGGTGCTGTCAAGTACTGTACAGGAAGGGGTTGCAAAGCACCCACCAATCTCCATGTACCAGATGTACTCTTGCACATGCAACATACACATAGCAAGAAACTGGACAGTCGAAATGGCATTTCCACCCACAAGTGAATATGTTTGGAAGGCCACAGTCACAGACATTAAAAGGGCTTCCAACCAGCAGAATACGGATTGCCTTCCATGGCCGCGGATAGAAGTTCCAGCACCATGCATGGGCTCTCAAACGTATCATGATCACAGCAGGTACAGCACTAATATGCGTTAACCTGGAGGTGTTTGGCACATTCCAGCGAATCTCAACAATACGAGGAGGATGAAGAGCCACATGAACAACCATGGAGCACACAAACAGAGATTGTGTAAGTAAATAAATGTTCTGGCCTAAAGACACGTTGGTACCATCAAGCACCAATCTGGGAACTAGCTAGCAAAACACAAAGACATACAAAAGATAACAATGGGGAAGAGTCCTGGTTTGAACAGCGACAATGGGAAAGGAGTGTATGGCTAACAATCGAGTATAAACAGATATGAAGGAGAACGAAGAAGGATTCGTACACATATCGACGAAGAACCTGAGACAGAAAATCAATCCAAGAATGCCGGAGAACAAGATGCAAACAGGGCTCGCTGGCCATGCACGGTTGAAGTTCAAGTAAAGAAAAAGGAGAGAGCCTGATCAAGTAACTGTAGCAGCAGCTACAATAACGGCAACAGCAATGGGAAGATACAATACTAGATAATCAAGGGCTGCCGGTGTATAAGACAGATATGTGGATAATTCAGGGTAAACATCAATATGATACTATGCATTTCATGATGCCGGTACGTTTCGTGCAAGTCACGCCACCAAGGGCTGATCGGATTTGTGAAATTATGATACAGCAATACAGTAAAATACGCACACCCACACGCGCGCACACACACACACACACACACACACACACACACACAATAATACAGGATCTCAACATGCACAACAGCGTATCCCGCTGGAGCAGCTCTTCTGGCACTACTGCTAACACGAATAGTTGTTGATTAGAGATACGCTGACCCCTTACCACTGGTATGGCTGTCATCAGCCGACGACGATACAGGAAGAGGGCCGGTCGTAGTACTAGATGAGCTGCCATTCGAGCTTCTATTCATAGCAAAGAAATCATGCTGCAGGGCTTGGTGTGGCTTAATGCGTTTCTTAGGATCATACTCCAGCATGCGGCCAATCAGGTCTAGGAAACGGAAATAATCGGCCGGAGTGTGACCGGGCTCACCGAGGCGACGGCCATTCGGGCCTCCACAATCAGCCCCGACGATGTCCTGCAACCGACGAGAGCCTGGCGCTTTGTAGTCCTTCTTCAGATCCTTCGAAGACTTCACCTCGCAGGTTCCGTTGGCACGCTTCTCAAAGAACTTGGAAGTCTTGGTGCCCCGATCGAGCAAAGATTGCGTGGGTATGCCGAGCACTTCAATGATTTTGTACAGCTGATCTACTTCATTCTGGCCACTGAACAGAGGTTCCCCAGTGTGCATCTCCACCAGTATACAGCCAAGCGACCACATATCAATCGCCATATCGTACTGGACGCCGAGGAGCACTTCCGGGGAGCGGTAAAACCGCGACTGGATATACTGGTATACGCGCTGACCCAGCTGACAGGAGCTGCCGAAATCCACAATTTTAATCCCAGAGCGCTTTGGATTACACAGTAGAATATTCTCCGGCTTGAGATCGCAATGAATGACTTGCATCTCCGGTGTCGACAGGAACAGCAGTGCTGTGATCAACTGGTGAGCAAACTTCCGCGTCAGGTTAAGTGATACGCCTCGGAAATTCGTATTCCGCAGCAAATCAAACAGGTTGTAGCTCAACAGTTCGAACACGAGACACAGATGGTTACGGAACATGAAGTGGCGTTTCAGTCGTACAATATAGTACTTCTGCTCGGGGTCATATCGGTTCATCATTTCCAGTAGTCGAAGTTCTACCAGGGCCTGGTTATAGAACGGTTTCTTATTCTTGATGATTTTAATTGCTACATACTCAGACTCCTCACTATCGTAGGCCTTGGCAACTTGCCCAAATGATCCCTTGCCAATTAGAGAATCAATCTCGTAGCGATCATGCCATCTCTCTCCAGGCTTAATTATGTAATCAAAGTTCTCGTCATCGTATCCATCGTTGTTAAGACGCCGCTCCGATCGTCGAGAGCTGTCTTCTGTTCCTGAAGTCGGTGGTACACTGGTGATTTGTTGCTGTGCCCGACGTTTTCTCTTCGTATAGTACACATCGTTGATATGTTTGTACGTTTTTATCAAATCCACAGTCAAAGCACGGAGGGGAGCCTCGGCAGGATCACGAAACGCCCTCCCGCCAGCAACTGCACCAGAGGCTTGAGCTTGTCGGAGGCCTGACGGATCATCCACAGTAGATGCGGAGCTAGTAGGAGCACCAGCTGACGCCAAACCTTGATTCGCAGCCGAAGCTGATTCTCCAGCACCGTATCCGACTCCGTTCATACTACTGCAGGAGTTTCACTGAAACTACGAGCAAAGAACCAAAGGCAACTGGTCCAGATCTTCTTCCCCCACATCAATGGGCGAAGGCATAGGAACCCTCCGTAACGGCACGTGGAATGAAGTTTGAAGAAAGCGCCATTGGACTACGGCAGATCATTTGCAAGCGAAAAATAGATCATCGGAGAGCAGTTCGGTCATGGCCCATGCACTTTCACGACCACAGCTAGCTACACAGTACAGGCTACAGTTGGTGCCTGCAAGTATAGTACAGGATCGCTGAGGACGCAACAAGAAGTGCATCCATACCATGTCGCAAACTGGCAAAAGCAGCACCATACCACATGCCATACATGTATACATGTGTCAAAAATTAAAGATGGCGTCCAAAAGTGCGCGCCACACATGACCGGGGTCGTAAGATTACGGCTCTTGGTAAATCTTTTTTCGTCACGTCTGAAGTGACGTCTACCATGCATGCATGGAGTATAGCCTATACTATAGCAAGAGTACATAAACCTTTTTTTTTTTTATGTACTCTTGCCTATAGGCCGGGATTAGCAAGACGAAATTCGCGTTCGCGTTCGCAAACATTTTTCAGTTCGCGAACCCGCGATATTCATGTTAAAACAAAATGGCGTCACGATTTATTGAAAGTGGTATAGTTGGTGGGTAGGACTAAAGGGACAAGCTTATCTATTTTTGCAGATTTTCTTTCATAAAAAAAGAAACGTCACAGCCAAGCCTTCGTACGTGGCCGCGTCGCAGCGGTCCGCGATACCGACCGGGAAGCTCGTTGCCTGGTGTAGGACACTTGGCCGTGGCCATTGCAAGGTCAGACGGATGAGCAACCTGAATCAGTCGCATGAAGTACGAAGTAGTCTGGTGTATGTACCGTATGCATACCGTATTTTTCTTATCTCGTCTAGAGAGAATTTGTTGAAGGAGAAAAATTACGAACTGATTGTGATTATGCATTGCGCCAACTGCAATTACCGGTAATTATTTAGATGGTTCTTCCCCCGTCTGTTGGCTCTGGTAAAAGAATTAAAAGAGCTTTGTCGTTGGCAGATGTCAAGCCGAAGAACATCGTGGTAGCTTTGCAGTTGATGCTGTGCGAGTTGCAGGACTGTCTGCCTTGGAGCTTGAAATGGAGCTGTGCTTTTTCGATTACCCGAAAATCTGGCATTGTTATGGAGCGGCGGAAGTTTTTGATGCAAGATATGTGTGGCCGTGACGCACCAGTACATGAACTATGCAGGGAAATCATTGTATGAATAGGCGCGAGGCGCGAGGCGTCAGACACGTCTCCTGGAGAAGGGACCATGCTGAACATGTAAACGTACCAGAATTGTCCCATTGCCAGAGAATCAGCTCAATTCATGTGCCTGATATGTGAGGATTTTAACTCCTGCTGCTTGAGAATTGGTCTACTCGATGCTGTGCAAGAGAGCATAGCAACATATCATCATGACTGTCGTGATTTGCGGCCATACATAATAGGGCCGTGAAGCAAGAGGAGATGTGCGAAATGATAGGCACATTAATTTCGCCTGCAGACTTGCACAACAGTATATTTCCAAGATCGTCTTTGCCGCAAGTGGATATGCGTTTTGTGGAACGAATGGTCAGTATACAGCGCGAGTCGCTAGTCCATCGCTATGCCGCGACTTTGCCCACACATATCAATTATTGATATTGTAATCGCATAGCCTCTATTGGTGTCCAGCTGCCGACTGAAGGGATATGGCAGGGCTATTGGAACCGTCAATTCTACTTGATCGCAGGAGACATTTAACGAACCGCCAACCCTCAGTTTGTGGATTGTACCCTCCCAGCACTCCCATCACTATCAGCATTAGGTGTATACAGTACTAGCAGTCAAGAAGGAAAGAAACGATGTGTTCGTCTTTATCTCTCTTCATTATCATTCTGAAGAAGACAACCGTCGAATCGCTAATACATTAGTATCAATCAGTCAAATCTTGCTTGTCTCTCTCTCTCTCTCTCTCTCTCTCTCTCTCTCTCTCTCTCTCTCTCTCTCTCTCTTTCTCTCTCTTTCTCCCTCTGTAGCTCTCAGAACAATATGTCCTCTTAACTCAATAGCACACCAGAACGCAGTTGTGTGGAGTGATCATTGTTGAAGTATTCATTCTCAGAGTCCACCAACAGAATTAGTGTTAATAATTACCACTCGAGAGAAGACTGTAAACTCAGCACGTGCATATAGGGCTGCACACACAGGCTACGCTAGCTGCAGCGCCGGTACAACGGAACTATATAAAGAGCCAGCCAGCATGAATCAAAGCAATCGACTGTCACGGCACCAGTGCAGACAAAGTGATGCGTACACAACACAGACAACGTGACAAGTCCAGCTACATACAGTTACTTGAGCAGAGAGAAGCACCAACACAATCTTCAGCATGCATGCACATACTTCTAACAATTAGCCTTACGCATGCCCGCACGTATACCTAGACATACTCTCTCTCTCTCTCTCTCTCACACACACACGCACACACACACACACGCACACACACACACGGAGGCATATCGTGATATCCAGTCGCAGCCACGAGGTTGACGCACCCGCATGCACCAGTCTTTTAAATAATGTGACAGACAAAAGCCAAAGAGAGCGTACCAGCTAAGGTTCCAGGAAAGCAAATAAATAACAAGGCCTATTACATAAGTCCACGTGTCGATGGCATGGATACGGCATACGCACAAACGCCCAAGCATGCATCACCAATCGTTCACACGACAATGCCTGCAGTATGTTCCCATGTCGTGCGTACTGCAAACATGGTGAAACACATGAGAGCAGTTGTTGTTGCGGCACGGCTTGGTCGGTAGCTGCGGAAATGCGCAGCTGGGGTTACAGCACTTAGGCTGCTGCGGACCTACAACACACATAAATACAAATACACACACACACACAAACATGCACACACACACACACACACACACAAACATGCACACACAGTGTTGTAGCCTAGCATAATATTACTAATGCAAGAGAACACAATTTCTACCATTCTGCAGGTGCAACATATGCGAAGAAAAATAAATTACAAGCTACAGGACATGAACAAACCCGAAAGCTTTATTTGATTATTTAACAAATGAACGATAAACTCTGTCACCTCGCTGCCGATTTAAAACTGAAATAGGGAAAATTGTGAGGATACTGCAAACAAAAACCAGCATACCTGTATTGCATCTTGTCCTTTGCTGTAGCCCATCTGTTGCGAATACTGGTACAGACGTAGCAGGCATTGGATACAACGTGGCTCCTGCAGAGTGAAGTAAACGCGCAGCTGTAATATGTTGACACACACGAACACGCAAGCACATACGTACACACACACATACATACACACCCACACACACAAACACATTAGCATGATTTTGCTCTCATGGGGCAGCTGGACACAAAATCAAAACATGATATGGATGAACAGATACTTATTATAGATTATTGGAGTGGATTACACCGAGCAACACCAATGGCTGTACAGTGTACAGATGCACACTGAAGACATCGCCACTTACGTTCGGGAGCTGCAGCCTGTTGTATTGAACTGCTTCCCGTCAATGCTGTCAATGTGACGGAACCAGGTCTTGTCGAGGCTGTAAGAAATGTTTGAGGCATAAATTGGCAAGGAAAATAACGCGTGAATTATAATAGGGGGGAAACGTACATCTAGAACTTACAAGAAAATGTAATTAAGTGGGGAAGGAAGCAAATGAAATTAACTGGGGAAAGGAAAGCCTACCACACACCTTTCTCACGCTGTTGAGCTTGTAGGAACTGCCTCCGCTCAGTCTCTCCGGAAACTCCGACACGACACCTGAGGTGTCTTTCGACTGCAGGTCGACCACGCTTGGCATGCCCTGACTCCAAGGCTGGATCAGGGACAGCAGTGCTATATGTTTCGTGCAGTCTGCGCCTGGCGCTAAAGTGTTGGTTCAAGGTGAATGAAGACGCTGTGCAGGAAATCATACAGAATAGCACAAACAGTACTCTATCGGCTTTGGATAGCTAGCTATTTAGACTTGTTAGGTGGCATTAGCGGAACTCAAGTGACTGGCCAGGCCTATTACATCAAAGTCTAGCGAACAACAAACCTTTATGAAACCAGCTCACTAGCACACACAAGATCCATATCTGCGGAATCGACAATTTTTTATCTTGATTAACGACACTATACATACCCTCTTGGATAACCAAGCCAGACTCATCAGTGGGCAGACTTTTCGCAAGTTCTTCTGACAGCTTCTCCAGTTGAGCGCAGAGATTTTTTAGAGCACTTGAGTCTGTACAGACGAAGGTCTGTGCATCGATTACTTTGAGCATGTTTCGTGCTTGCCTTGCAGAGAGTTGGTTTTGTTGCTGTTGTGTCTGTACAAAAGGAAAGTAGTCGCAAATTTAAAAAAAATTAATAGAAAGATCAGAATTGTCGGAGAATATAATGTACAAGTTTTCAAACGTTAATTATGCAATAGGCGCACTCATATCACAGTCATAGCAACGGATATAATGTCCCATGCTCCTTTAGCTCTGGGTGGTACGCCCGGCCAAATTCCTGGGCAGTAGACAATGCATATCCGACATAGGTCGTATTAAAGGAGATTGCCTTCCCTTTATCACAGGAAGTTATCACGTGCATTAACTACCGTCTAACCACAATGGTCAGTGCACAGCAACAAGAATGCGTACAGAAAGCTATCAAGTGACTATTGGGTGATTGAGCACTGAAGATTGTTCTCTATGGAAGTACTTACATGCCTATACTCCACTTTGAACATGGTCTGGATAGCCCGGGCATCTCGTAGACCACTCTCGACGAGTTGGAGAATTCGGTCGATAACCGACTGACTGAGTCTTTGGCTGAGCTCGCTGGCGAGTTTACCTTTCTCGGTAATGACATCATGACCACTGTGACTACCCTCAGTTGGGTAGCTCACGATAAACCTAGTGGGCATGCACATACGTGAAAGACATTTTATTGGTGATTCTGCAGAGCTACGTACATTACACATACTATGGTACCATACAACTGGGTTAATTGGCCTACGTACCTTACATGGCAAGTGTGGCATTCATACATGAACTACCGATCACTGTACACAATCAATTACTTTCGCACTATGACATAAAAAGGTATGTTATAATGTTAGTATAACTCACCGATCGCACACATTGAGTTTGGACAGGTCGCCAGCATCGAGAGCAGCCAAAATAGATATCTTAAGCTCCTTCACTTTACCCGCTTTTGCTTTTACCAAGGCGGAAGCAGAAAGACCAGTTGAGTCAACCGAATAAGCGGGGAGTCGCAGAATGCGACGAATGTTGCACGATGCCTCACATCCAATTTTTCTTGTCCCTATAAGAATTACAGGACATACCACAGTGACATCAACATGCAGTACAACTATAAGCTGGGTGCATTACAGCTGGATAGTGGCAAAGATTCCTTATTCGTATCTTTGTATAGCAGTTGACATGATGACATGTAGAACAACAATTTAAAAAAACCGATGCCTAGCTTTACAGCAATGTGCACCAAAAAGATAACCATGACTCTGGGTATGCTTCTGACCTTGGAGTTTTATCCTCTTCTTCTTCTTATCAGCTGAGGCTTTGGGGTAAGAATGATCAGATGCTGAACTCGTTACATCATCAGAGGACTCGGTGCATTTTGTGGTGTGGCACCTGTAATGTTACCGACACAACAACACTTGGTCACTGACAAAGATGATGCAAAAGAATCAAGAGGTAGTACAACTGTTCTCATTGATAACTAGCAATTGCATGAAATAGATCACATTCAGATTCTTCCTGCCCATTTAATTCCATTACCTGTGCTTCCCAAATTGACATTCTAGTATGCGAAAGCCACAGCAGACGAACGGAACTCCATCAAAAGGAATCGGTGCACAGCTCGTGCCACGTTCCTGGCTCCATATGAACCCCTTTGGACGCAGAATGGCCTCCTTGAAGATCTCTTCAACACTGCAACATTTGTGGACATAGCACACATACATGTACGAGACGTTATAATTATACCAGCAGTCATTACTGTTAATCCAGTGACGACGCTATGTACACTGCAAAGATATGCGTTGGAAAATGGTTAGTTATGTGTTGGAATACAGTGGATGTGAGGTCTTCTTGCTCAACAGGGAATCAAATTAGAGCCTGATTCCCAAAACATGATTCAGCACCCTGGGTGTAAGGTTTCGTACCCTGCTCAACGAACTAACAGACAGCATGACCATCAATTTTTTTGATGCATCCTTGCCATACTTCGTTCCAATGTTTCTAATACCGTAATGTCGCGTATAACAGCAAACCGGGGTCCAAACCATGCTTCTATTCAAGTTATGCTTCTATTCGAAATATGCTTCTACGTCAACATCATTCTGCACTGTGCAGTGGATACTGCCACGCATGTACTCGCACATGTACTTTACAGGGAGCGGCTTCTATTCAAACCAACTGTGTTACAGCGGGCTTCAAAAAAATCGGCTTCTATTCGAGTCATGCTTCTATACAGGTCATGCCTTTTATACGCGACACTACAGTATGTGGGATGGGTGCAGTGGATATCAAAACTAATTTATAATCGTCCCGCTCTATGCAAGTGTGAATGCATTTACGTGTATCCGCTAGCAGGGCTGTAATGCACTGTGCACTACTGTAGGGCAATGCACACTGCATATTCTTCTCTTCAAAACCTATGAATTATACGACTCACTGCTCCTTTGGAACCAACATAAACACGATGAAGACAGCATTTTCGTGCTCCGTTTTGGTGGGTCTTACCTGTTTGAGAACGGTTTTTCTGTGGTCCTCGTTACAAAGTTAGCGCGTGGTAGGGCAACTTTCAGGAAATCCTCCAATTCCTCCGCTCCATCTAATACTCTAACCTCGTTTGCCATCATATCGGATCATGATCAGGACAAAAACCAAAACCAAAACGTGTCCATCTAAAAAAACAAAACCAAAAAAACAAAACGTCGTCTGTCACTACCGGTATTCTTCCCTTCCCGCCGCAATGACCTTTCAAGTTTCAGGTCATAAAATAATGTGTATTGTTGTACAATGTATGTATGTACGTGTACGCGACGAGACTGCAAGCTGAAATGCATCCGTCATCTGTCCGACCCTGCAATGGCCACGGCCAAGTGTCCCGGAGCTTCCGATCGGTATCGCGGTCGCGCGACGCGGCCACGTACGAAGGCTTGGCTGTGACGTTTATTTTTTTATGATGGAAAATCCGCAAAAATAGATAAGCTTGTCCCTTTAGCCTTTCGCATAGTTGGTGGAACGAGTGTTCAAACCCATTTGAACTTCATACTGTTCGTCTTCTTTTTGACATGCTCCCTTTCCATCGTCCTTAGCTTTTATTTGTTGAGAGCTGTTTTGGCTTTCTCCTATACCTCTGGGGGATGCCAAGTGATGGTTTTGAGAGGCTGGTGATGGCTGTGAGCGAGAGTTTGCCGATCGGCGTCGTCCTCGCTATAGCGATGAAAATACTAGTTACTGCGCACCTGGCACATATCACAACACGTCGGAGCGTCCAGGAGCAAAGGAATCTTGGGTTTTCACTGGAATCTAGTTCCTCCAGCATCGTGTAGCCCACCGTCGGTGAATGGCGGTCCAGAAAGGTCGAACCTGGTCTTCTGCAGCATCTCGCAGTCCTGCGAGGCACACTGAATACGCCTGTCATGTATTCTACAAATAAAAATCACGAAGTTGTGGACTTTACAGTGATGAGTCTATCCTGTATGCTGCAAAAGACGCAGGAAATGTGACTGGTGTCTGTACACTCAGTGACTGGACGCCAACACCCCAGTCTTCTCCTGCAGGATCTGTTTGACATTGACATTATGCAGTAGGTCGGCATTGACCTGGTTTGGCAGCTATCGTAATAGTATCTGCCTGGTTGGATGTAGCAGGTTGGTGTTTGCTCGTCGTCCAGTCCGGAATTTTCTTGTAACTCACGGTGGAGTACGCGCAGGGTTTGTGATCATCTCTGTTCACTTCAATATTATCAAACACAACGTTCCCTTTGTCACTCATCTTATCCTGAGTACTGAATTTGCTGACAATATTGCACCATACTTGTCACAACCTACCGCCACTGCTGGCGGTGGCGACTGGTTCGTCAATGGCGGTGACCAGGCTGACTGACTAGCTTCGAGACAGCGGCCTCGTTGTCAATACCGCGGCAGCCTAAAGGTTGATTTTATTCATCCAGCCTCAGCGCCATGTTGACGATGCCCTAGTGACTGTGTGTCATGGATTGCCTTGCCATCAGCGGTCATTGCCGTCCACCTTGATGCAACCCTCAACAACTGGCTCAGCCCATGGGAGTCTCAAGTGGACAAAATTGTTGCCAAAGTAGCTCAGAAGATTGGTGCATCGTGGTGTACGTGAGCACATAACTAGGACTTCCCAGCGTCTATTTGTCCAGGCTGCGATACTATGTGACATGCTGTACTGCACATTCTTTTCAGCACTGCAAGGCCGGCAGCTGGACCGACTGCAGGGGCCGCGCACATGCAGGCCGCCTGTTGCCAGTGCAGCATTCTGGAACGTTCCTTCCTTCTGAGATCCGTGGAATAATAACTTTCTTTGCTTCAAAGCAAGTTGCTTGCCTTTCTGTTGTGCTCCCAGTGTCCTTACAACAATAACCTACAGCAATGTTTTATTTTCCTTTCCATTCCCCAACCAATGAATACTACGATGTCGATTCTATTTCTTCATACTTTGGTGTGTGCCCGCGCACGCACGTGTGTGTGTATACCTCACTCGCCACTCGAAGTTCTGTTCCCCATCACTGGAACACTGCCTGTTCTTTCAGGACCTGCCATCATCTGCGGATGGGCATTCAATAATTGTATTGTGTGTGTGTTTCATTCAGAATCAGATCCGCTATCATTGCTATTAGAGACAATCTGTGGGTTCACATCCAGTGCATTTTTAGATCTGCGTGCTTTTCTCGCCACGGGCGCATACATGGGACATTGTGTGTGTGTGCGTCTGTGTGTATGGGGATATTGTCTGTATCGGCTTTTGGTACTAATGTTCAGGTCTGTGCTTGCATGTGTGAACATGAAATTGTTCGGTTCTGTGCATGCTATTGCTATGTTGTATATTATTGTATGTATGTGTGCATTTCCACGAACAGTGTAGACGAGCGTGGAGAGTGCATTCATCCCTCATCAACCACTTCCCCTTGGGCTTACGAGAGTTTTTTCTGCGTACCTCTCTGATACTGTATTGATGCCGGCACCTGTACCTCGATGTGTTCCTCTATCTGCAGTCGCCTTTAACCTTCGGTCAAGTTAACGTTTATTGTGCTCTATTTATCGTGCGAATCAAAATAAACAATAACACAAGTCGTGCTAGAGTGACGACATGTGCGTGTAGTAGGGTTGATGCGATGGGACGTTATAATTAGGTGGAACAGAACACACATTGGGCAGATTGATTGGGCATCATTGATTGTGCTCAGTCTAAACAGTGAACATAATAATTATCTCCAGTGACAGACTGTAGCGGCTAGCCTCCAATAGGTAGCTGGCACTAGTCGCTACTGCTTGTTTGACAGGTGCCGCCAGAACCCCTGTTGTGTCATGCTATAGATGCACATGCCCTATTCTGGGGCATACTGAGGTACTTTGATTTTGTTGACTGCATGTAGACAGCATCCAATAGTAGTACTCGTAGACCTTGGCTCTTTGTAGGTCAACCACCATCGCATGGATCGATCGGTGACTATGCACTTGGAGGTTGGAATAGCCCGCGCTGAACAGATCTTGCCATGGCCCAGGGAGTGAACTCGCTTACTCGACTATCCCGGTTTTAGTTAACCAGCATGAGTGGTGCAATTTGTCCATACCATGTTGCGAGCTCACAGTTGTTTGGGCAGGTTTTGAGCTGCACCACGAAACTAAGCGAAATAACGGCGTGACTGTAGAGCAAGGAAGCGGCGAGACGGCACTTCCAGGACGAGACAGGCAGTAGAGATGTGTTCACAGCACGAGCAACCTCTCAGACCCTGCCGGTACTCCACAGTTACAAGAAAATGTCGGACTGGACGACGCGCCAATGCAAACCTGCTACATCCACCCAGGCAGATAGCTGCCAAACCAGGCCAATGTCGACCCACTGCATACCGCTATGTCAATGTCAAACAGATCCTGCAGGAGAAGACTGGGATGATATTGGCGTCCAGTGTACGGACACCAGTCACATTTCCTGCGTCTTTTGCAGCATACAGGATAGACTCATCACTGTAAAGTCCACTACTTCGTGATTTATATTTGTAGAATACATGACAGGCGTATTCAGTGTGCCTCGCAGGACTGCGAGATGCTGCAGAAGACCAGTTTCGACCTTTCTGGACCGCCATTCACCGACGGTGGGCTACACGATGCTGGAGGAACTAGATTCCAGTGAAAACCCAAGATTCCTTTGCTCCTGGACGCTCCGACGTGTTGTGATATGTGCCAGGTGCGCAGTAACTAGTATTTTCATCGCTATCGCGAGGACGACGCCGATCGGCAAACTCTCGCTCACAGCCATCACCAGCCTCTCAAAACCATCACTTGGCATCCCCCAGAGGTATAGGAGAAAGCCAAAACAGCTCTCAACAAACAAAAGCTAACGACAATGGAAAGAGAGCATGTCAAAAAGAAGACGAACAGTATGAAGTTCAAATGGGTTTGAACACTCGTTCCACCAACTATACCACTTTCAATAAATCGTGACGCCATTTTGTTTTAACATGAATATCGCGGGTTCGCGAACTGAAACAAAAGCACGAAAGTTTAGGGTTCACGGCTTGCCACTAAAAGCACCCGTCACGTGCGCCTCCATTTTGGATTATGGACGCGCGCTACAGGCCGCGACAGCGCCTATCGAAGTAAAAAAATATCGACTCGAAGTCTAGCCGGAGAGCGTACTTTTTGAATTTTTCCTTGGCTTCAGTGGCTTCACTTCACTCGGGCTTTGCATTTTTCTGACTGACCTGGACTTGATGATGGCGGCGGTGGCGGTCTTGGCGAAAGATCCAGTTCCATCTGAGACACTCTGTCGTCTTTTCTTATCTGCTGAGGTTCTGGCAAAGCGCAGCTGCATCGAACCTGACTAGATGTAGCTGCACGCATCCTTTGTTTGCCCTGCAAATCTCGATCTGTTGCTCTTCTTGCTGTTTGGCCGCGGATGCCATGGAAGAAAATATTCTTCCTGTAAAGAGGCCGAAACTGAGCTAGGGCACGTCAAGATATCTAGGGTATACAAAGAAAAAGAAATGTCATGGTCGTTTCAGCAGCTCACGACAGCCAACACGCTCCATCGTCGGGATTGGAAGTATCCAGCACGGCTGTTCCGAGCGCTGCTGCTCTTGTTATTCTTCTTCTTCAGAAATTCTCCACACCTTGTCGGCCAAAGTACGCGCGCGCGTGCACGGAAAATAGATGCGCTGAGCCGTTTCTTGTTCGATTTTGACAAATAATGGCTTGTTGTTTTGCTCTCGACCTTGGCTATCCTTCTACCGTTCAGTATTTTACGGAAACGCAACGGTTCCCCCTGTTTTTTTAGCCGAACTTTGGCCAAAGTTACTGGAAAACCCGGAACTCGTTTGAAAAAATACGAACGGTGGAAGTCTTGGAACGTCTTTCGTGCGTGTGGATTCAAAAATTCAGGCAGTTTGAGCCAACCGTAATGAATCCCGTAGAGTTGAAAGTGAGTGATATTGATGGGAAAATGCGATTTGAGCACTGACCGATTGTGTGGGACAGTATATGCACGCGCCTGTCACGTGCATGATGTAGCTGGCGACGCTAGCATGCCAATCCGTGAACCCTAAAGTTCGCAATCCAGTGGACCGTATGCATACGGTCCACTGGATTGCGAACTTTCGCACTTTTCGTTCGGAAAAGTAGTCGGAACACGAATCGTGGATTCGTGTCAGGGCAGTCATAAATTTACCACGCTGTACTGCCCACGTCGTGTCAACATCATGCATGTGCGAATTCTGTTTGCT